TTTGCATACCTTTCCACGGTACCAAGGGAGCTTGTCTTCATGGCCATGGTGATGCAAGTAAGTCACGAAATCCAACCACATTACAAATATCTGCAATTAGTTGTGAAAAAAATGCAATAAGCACCTGACGACTAGAGAAAAAAGAGGAATACAATTACAGTTACAGCATCAGGTACCCAGTAAGGAATGCCATATAGTTTAAGCATTTGGATTGGACCCACGACAAAATTGAGACAGACAGGCATGGCAGCCATTGCAGTCCAACATGCAGTTGAATGTCAGAACATCTTTCTTCTCTTTGAGAAGAAACAAGTCACTGTCTGGTATCAAAATGAGACCCATCTACTGTAAATCGCATTACTTACATGCATTTAAATATTTATTCTTGTATATTTGGATATTGTTTACAGTGTTTTTTATTTTGTTTCAGTTTATAAAACTAACAAGAACTTAGTTTTAAAAGTCTAAACTCTCTTCGAGTTAGATTCAAGTAATTTACAAAGCTTTATAAATTAGTGTATAAATATTTGTAATTAACTTATAACTCCAGTAGATATTTTATAAACTAATTTATAATATCTTATAAATTAATTTATAAGATTTTATAAATCAGTTCATGAATCCTTACTAACCTTTATAAATGATATATAAGCTTATATATATAATATTAACTCTTGCAAATGTTTTATAAACCCTTATAAAGTATTTATAAACAGTTTATAGATTTTATAACTTGCTTTATAAGTCTTCATAAATTGATTTATAAATCTTTATAAATTCATTATTAAATCCTTATTATTTGATTTATAAACTTTCATAGATTAACTCTTACAAATGGCTTCATAAACCTTATAAACATTTAACAAACCCTTATAAAACCTTTATTAAACTTAATGTACACTTACAAAGACTTTAAAATAATTTTTATAATTTATAAATCCTTATATAAAACTAATAATAATTTATAAATGATTTTATAAATATTTATAAATGATATATAAACCATTATATTTGACTTATAAACCATTATAAATAATTCATAAACTAATTACAAATGATTTTATAACTATTTATAACTCTTTAAGATTATTTTATAAACACTTTAGATCATTTAATGTTTATTAATGTTATAAATTCACTTTTATTTCTTATTAAATCATCTATAAATGATTTTATACTCTTATAAACATTTTAATGGTTTATAAGCCTTTATATATAATTTTGTATATTCTTATACGTAATTTATAAACCCTTATAAATGATTTATAAGCCTTTATAAAAANAGATTATTTTATAAACACTTTAGATCATTTAATGTTTATTAATGTTATAAATTCACTTTTATTTCTTATTAAATCATCTATAAATGATTTTATACTCTTATAAACATTTTAATGGTTTATAAGCCTTTATATATAATTTTGTATATTCTTATACGTAATTTATAAACCCTTATAAATGATTTATAAGCCTTTATAAAAATTTTAAGAGTTTATAATTGAATTACCTTTAGAATTTCTACAAATCCTTATAAATGGTTGAATCAACATCAATTATAGCTCTTCCTACAACTTCTTAATTTTGTACTAATTCTCAATGATTTCTTGCAAATCCTTTATACTTGAACATCCAACTTTTCTAATTCTTCCTACATTTTTTCTTTTGTTGTATCAAAACTTGTTGCCTCCAATGTGTTATCACTCTTGTCTCTTCTATCAGCTTTTTAGCATGTTTCCAAAGAATATCAAACTCAATTACGGTCAAATAGTTTTTATAAACCCTTATAAATAGATTTATAAACCCTTATAAATAGAAAACTAATTTCCAAAGTTAGATAGAAAAAAAAGATAAGATATTTATTGTAACAGTCAACAGAAATACATCATCTCTCCCGTTAGAATTATTTGAAATGCTAATTCAATAGTAGAAAATTTCAAATTTTGTTTAGTTTTATTATCATAAAAAAAGAAAAAACTTATTGTAGATCACAAGCTAAATGATTTATAAACCATTATAAATTATTTATAAATCCTTATAAATGATTTATAAACCCTTATAAATAATTAATAAACCTTTATAAAATGTTTTAATACTTTATAATTGAATTACCTTTAGAATTTCTACAAATCCTCATAAATAATTTTATAAACCCTAAATAATTTTATAAATTCTTATAAATGATTTACAGATTATTACAAAAAGGTTTTCTATATATTCTTATAAATTATTTATAAAATCTTTTAAATAGTTTAGAAAATTTATAAAGGACTTTTATAAATCTGTTACATATTTGTTAGATGTAACATCCTTCGATATAGAGTCACTAGTGCTGAAAAGATCACCATCCACTCGAGTTCCATTATAACTTTCTGCGATTACAAAACAGATACACAGAAAGAGCATCTATGAGTCTATGAAATGGAAACAAATATGAAAAAGATGCAACAAAATTTGAGGAAAGAACCATTTTCTTAACTTTAGTAAAATGGAGTTAAAGATCGCCAACGTGGTACATAAATCATTTATGAAGATTTAGAAATCATTTATAAACCTTTATCAATAGTTTATTTATATTCCTATAAATGTTTATAAACTCTTATAAAATCACTTATAACAATATACAAAATATTTATAAGGTTTTATAATCTCTGAATGGTTTATAAACCCTTATAAAATCACTTATAACAATATACCAAATATTTATAAAGTTTTATAAAATCATTTATAAAATCATTTATAAAAATTTGTAAAAATTTATAAAGGTAATTGCTTTATAAAGTCTCAAAATCATTTATTAGTGTTTATAAATATATTATAAGGGTTTATAAAACACTTATAAAGTATCTAATATTATAAGAGTTGATATATTATGTATAAAAGCCTATATATTATTTATAATGGTTTATAAGGGTTTAGAAACTGATTTATGAAATCTTATAAACTGATTTATAAGATATTTTATTTTGATTTACAAGAATGTATGAACTGATTTATAAGATAGTCTTCTTAACACTACTCCCACTAACACTTCTTGAATTCAGTTGTCTGCTAGCAACCTGTGAATTGATTTTGCGCTTGACACCATACTGACTCCGTTTCTTCTTTTCATCTGTTATAATATTATTTATAAGCCATTTATAATTAGTTATATTTTTTTTATAAATAAGTTTATAAGCCATTCTAAATTAGTTTATAATCATTGTATAAGTCATTTTTTATAAATAAGTTTATAAGCCATTCTAAATTAGTTTGTATAAGTCGTTACGAGCATCTCTCCTCCACCACCACCACAATTTGCAACAAAATGACAGCCAAGTTAATGGAAACATTTACAAATCATTTACATCTCTCCTCCACCACCACCACAATTTGCAACAAAATGACAGCCAAGTTAATGGAAACATTTACAAATCATTTACAAGACTTCATAAATCATAATATAAGGTTAATAATATAAGGTTAATAAGAACATATAAGAGTTTATAAACCATTTATAATGATTTATAAGGGTTTATAAGAATTTACAAAGGGTTTACAAACCATTTCTATGTGTTTATAAAGATTTTATATAGAATCTATAAAGTTTAATAAATTAATTATAAGGTTTTATATAGGTTTATATGTTTATAAAAAGTTTATATAAGATTTATAAGGCTTTATAAAATGTTTCAAGGCAACAACTTCGACCAAATGGTCTGGTAAACATTCATGGGCAATGATTTGAAAGTATAGGCCTTTGAGTTATGGTAAAGATGAGAGAATTAAGCTGTGTTGAACATAAAGTAGATTTTCAATCCACAATGTCCTCTGTA